AGTGCGCATGCGGATCCAGTGAGGGATGGGCCTGTTCTGCCTCATCTTCTTCGCGAGCTTCTTCTTTATCCTGAATGTCTTGTGCGACGGCTGTTCATCGTTTCACAGAGATTTCAGTGATTTAAATTAATTCACCGACGGACGGAGTCAAAGACGATTCGAACGTAAAATCAAAGGCAGAAATCAATCTAATGGAGGAATAGAGAATTAGAGGAGATACCATCTTCGTGTCTCTGCTGCGGCGGCTGCTGCTGCTGCTGCTAAGTTGTTGGGCGGAGAAGAAACCCTAAGGCCAGAAAAATGAGGCTTTTATAAGTGCCCCCAGTTTTTTTTTTTTCTGAGTCGGATGTCGGATATCTAAATTGCATCAATTCTGGGTCCAACTTCTCTTCTAAGTTTGTTGGGCCTTCATTTATCTGTGTCCATGTCCGGTTTCCATTTGTAAGTTGTTGGGCCCTCGTTTGTAGTTATCCGTACCCAAGTCCGGAAACCCATTACCTAATAGGTCAATACCCATTAATTTCCTCACTAAAATAGAGAAGTTATACTTATGGCAAAACTCTACCTTAAACCCCTGAACTTATTCTATATTCTTAATTAAACTCCTAAACTTTTATTAAAATATATAAGCCTCTAAACTTAGTAATTTGCACAATTTAACCGTCTTTTTTTATGGCAGACTTAATTCATATTTTTGTCTCGCTTGCATAGATAAAGTGTTAACATGTCATTATTTACATTATGGGTATTGAGTTTATCCACATAAGTAAGGTACAAATGGGTGTTAAATCTATTATAAGGAACATAATTAAAATGCTCAAATCACCAAATTCATGGAATTATTTACTTCAATAAAAATCTAGGGACTTAATAAAAAAATTGAAGTAAGTTTAAAGACTTAAGATAGGGTTTTGCCATTGTAGGAGTTGATTGTTTCCATACTCATGGAAGTTCTACTAAAGCAGATTGCATATGCATAGTGAAGGTGCATTTGGAATTGTTGTGAAGTGTTGTAACTATAACTTTAGCTGTGGTTCAAATCCTATCCCCTATGTATGTAATACTAATACTGGTCACTGGGATTGTTTAAGGTTACTATCCTATTTCGGTGTCTTTATTTTAACAGAAAGTTTTTTTTTAATTACTCTACTTAAAAAAATTACGTTTTAATTTTTAAAGTTTTTCATCTAGTTGTTTTTAGTTCTTTTATTACTTTTTTACACATGTAGTGTATTAGATAATGAAAATTCTAAAGTAGAGGGACCAAAAGAGGTTTTTCTTGTCCCATTTTAGTTTATTTATTTTTGAATTTGTTAGGTTCTCTTTTTATTTTGATGATGATTTAAAATCGTGATTCAAAAGGGTTTAATCTATTTTTGTGCTAAGTGTACAAGAAAGTTAATTCAATGATTTTAATCATTCCCCACTATTAGAATTAGTTCATGTTCTCCTTGTTTGAAGTTCTGGGATCGAACCAATTGGATTTGGTTCGAACAAATCCTGAAATTCTTTTTCCAAATACAATTCGAACCAATATTTCTGACTTCAAAGCAAAAATTCTGGAAGATAAAATTTTAACAGTTTAATTATTTGTTTTGTTTTAATGGGCCTTAGAAGGATCTAGATGACTAAGCACATTCCAAGACAAGTCAAAATCCGTTATAAGAAGAAGAAAAAGGGTGAAATTTGATTGGAGCTTTTGTGAGGTGGCTTTGAAGGGCAAAATAGACTTTAATTGCAAGAGCTCCCAACCAACTATTAAAATAACATCAAAATCAGATTTGGAATAACACAGAAGAACAGACTTCTCCAGAAGGACAAAAAAATAGAGTTTGTTTTTGAAACTGTTCTAGATCTTCTTCTTCTTCTTCTTGTGAGCTTTTGGGCTAATTGTCTTACAATGGTTTTGTATTTTTCTTGGATTGGGATAATCCTTGAAGGGGTTGAGTGAGTTGTTGAGATTCACTTGTGAGGGTTTAATCTTGCACCCGTAAGCAAGAGTTTGTTCTGGTTTAATTTTGCACCCATAAGTAAGAGAATCCTAATGGATTGAACTCTCGAGCAAGGAGGTTTAGGGAGTGGACGTACTCCGAGTTGAAGGAACCACTATAGATCATGACTTGATATTCTCTTCTCTCTCTTTTTATTTTTTTTGCACTTTATTATTCTTTGTTTATTTTGCACAATAGTTTATATGTTGAATGCTTGATTTAAGTTTTGAAACAAAAAAAGACAAGTTTTTAAGCAAAAATTGATAGGACCCAATTCACCTCCCTCTTGGGTGGCTAGCTGGGATTTTAAAATTTTCATTATTTAATAGATCATGTGTGCAAAAAAATAATAGAAGAACCAAAAATGAGCCAAATAATAAAATTTACTATTTTAGAGACTAAAACAGAAATTTTCAAAGTATAAAGATTAAAAAGAAATTTTTTGTTAAAATAG